CCATTTCTACATATTGTCCAAATTATTTTTTAGCGACACATAAATGTTATTTATATTTTTATATTTGGTTATCTTGTCTACGAAGAAAAAGATAATCTTGCAACTCTACTATGCCAACAAAAAGATGTATGAAAAATAACATAAGTATTAATTTATTATGTTTTACTCAATACAAGAAATATAATCCTCCCTATATATAATTCCAGAATGCGCTGAGCCTACGTGGCTGCTTCTGGTGCTTCGGAATCCTATGTGGCAAAGAATCATGCTTCGTAATTAGGTTTGGATAAATAATATTGATATATTAATAATTAATAATCTAGGTTCGGGTATTCCATAAATATTATTTAGCTAACTTAAGTACTTTAATATCATTTTTACTAATATAACCTTTTAATCTTTTGTAATTTTACATAGTGAGGCACTAAGTGACTAATATATCCCTGAATTTTGATTTGTTTCCTTCAATAAGCTATTGAATTATAAATGTATTTTAAAAGTTGATAACTTTTGTATTTCTTATCGGTTTTACATATATAATATATCAAATTAATCATCTTTTGATGATCTTCGATTTGACATCCATATTGTATATATAAAATAAATAAATTATATTTATCTTTATAATAATAATAAATAATAATATTTATTAAAATTCATTAGAAAAATAAAAGTATTTCTCCATTGATATATTTATGTTTAATGTAGTTATATGTTGTAAGTTAAAAAAATTATCATAATATAACACAGTAAGTTGCACAAATAAAAAGTGTCATACCAAATATATAATAATATACATATTTTTATAAAAGGTATTTAAATTTTCAACTATTTTTTCTCATTAATTTTAGATTTTAAGAAAAAAATTAGCAAGCACCCGTGTAATACACGGGCGTTATACTAGTAATAAATTGAATCACTAATATTATTGTTATCTTATCACGTGAGCATAACTCAATTATTTTGCTTACTTTTATATTGCAAGAGATTAGCATTTTGAGTATATATACTGAATATCACATTAACTAATTTATATGGACTGAATATCACATTAACTAATTTTAGTAC